AGATAGGATATCTTCTTTAATTTTGCCAAATACAAATAGACTAGATATTATTTAAAAAAAACTAGATATTGTAACTGTAATTCTTGCTAGATAACTGTTTTGTCACATGTAATTTTCCTATATGAAAGTTAAAAATTTCCTTTTTAAAAAAAAGAAAAGGGGAAGTTCTGTGGATATCACTCTATATAAATAAAATGCTGATTGGCCAGTGGCCAGGCAGGAAATATAGGTGGCAAGAGCAGAGAAGAGAATTCTGGGAAATGGAAGGCTGAGGCGGGGAGACAGTGCCAGCCACAGCCATGACAAGCAGCATGGGAAGATGCTGGTAAGCCACCAGCCATGTGGCAAGCTATAGATTTATAGAAATGGATTACTTTAAAATATAAGAACAGTTAACAAGAAGCCTGAGCCATTAGGCCAAACAGTTTAAATAATATAAGCACCTGTGTGTTTATTTTATAAGTGGGCTGTCGGACTGCTAGGGCTTGGCAGGACCCAGAGAGAAAACTCTCTAGCTACACTTGGAGGTACAGCCCTTTGCTGGCAAGGACTAAAGGACATGTCACAAGCCCTAGGGAGATACTAGCCTTGTGCACCCTGAAGATCAGGTCACTGAGGGCCACTATTATAATCTGAAGGATTTCCAACTGGTCAGACTCCTCCCACATGGTGGGAGAGGAACTGTTAGGTGTTGGCAGGGAGAACACACTTGGCTAAGCAAATGACAAGGCAGACATCCTTTGAGATGCACACCCAGGAACCAGCTTCCCATCAGTCCTGGTAATGAGACTCCCACTTACTCTGTCCCATTTCCTGGCTGACACTTGGACTCACCTCGCTGGGTCCTCTTAGATATTTTAGAGAGGGGTAACCAAGGGTTTGGGGGCTCAGCCCAGTAAACCCCCCGCCCCCGGTTTTCCTTCCCTCTTGTGTAGGCTTGGAAGGATGCTGGTCTCCCGCTCTCAACCACAAGCAATGAAGCCTGCAAGCTGTTTGATGCCACCCTGACCCAGGTACACCCACCAAGAGACTCGTGTCCTCCTTGAAGGGTTCTGAGGAGGAGTTTCGATTGGCGAATGGTCTGTAAATCCCATCACAGTAAAGAGCTGCACTTTACCACCGAGATCCAACAACATGGGGAGTGTCTCTGCCAGCCCCAGTGGCCCTTTTCCCAAGATCCCCAGTTCCAGGGTAGATAGCAATGGATGACCCCAGGGGTCTGAAAATACTCAGCCTCCACAGGTGTCCCACTGTGGCCTGCTGGGGTTTGTTGTGAGCTCTGCCATGAAGACATGGGGTCCTGTCCTGAGGTTCATCTCCAGTTAGCTGGACCAAGACCTTCCACCCATTCCCAGGCTCTTCCACACCAGTGAAGAATCCTGTAGTTCAGGGACTTGAGGGCTTATGGGAGAGGGGACAAGGTCTCAGAAGGAATGTCAAGTGGCTTTTTTTCCAGGTGGAATAATGGAGACTCAGAGAATTGAGCTTCCTTGAGTCAAATGTCACCCGGTCCATCAGAGGCTGAGCCAGGGTGCACCTGAGTCTGAAGACAGATAGAAGGCAAAAGCTGCCTTTTACATCTCTGTCCTTTGTGTCTCTAACTGTAATGACCACGGGCCATGGTCTTTGTGTTTGTTTGGGTCTCACACTGTAGCCCAGACTGGCCTGGAACTCAGCAAGCGTCCTGACTCAGTCCCCCTGTTGTTGGCATTATGGATGTGAGCCACCATGTTGGGTACGCGTTACTTTTGAGAGAAATGAAGCAAGAATTATGTAAGTGATTCCAGGGCTCTTCTTGGTGCGGAAGAAAGGGATATGCTGTACCTCATTTCTTGGAAAGGACCTGCTTTTCTACAGTTCTTTTCTGGCAGTGGGCATCGCAGGCCTAGGATGTGTCACCCAATCCTGTGTATTTAATCTCATCCTAGAAGGCCAATTAAGTTATACCATTTTTGAATTAGAGTCTAGAAAATGCTCAGTGTTCGAGAAAGAAAAACAATTCAGATCTGGGACTCCTGCATCCATAGAGCTTATGTGAGACCCCGAGTTTGAATTTCAGCACCCCTGACAGAAAAAAAAAATCGGAGTTTAGATACACCAGTTCACTGATACTGTCTAGGGCTCCACGAGGACAGACTTGTTTTGTATTTCTCACTCCAGTATATCAAGTGGACCAATGACACGAGTCTTGGTGGCATTGAGGGCTGCCTGTCAAAGCTCAAGGCAGCAGATCCAACCTTTGGTGAGTAAAGCTCTCCCTAGGGAAAGGAGCTCCGTTCACAAGCCCTGACTCTAGGGACTCCTGTGGTTGGAGGGACACAGTGACTGGGCTGACACTTGCACAGAGGAGGGATGATGACAGCTACTGTGGAACAATGGCTGCTCCCATGAGGATGCCATTTCCTCAGAAGGCTCTAGATCTTTTCTCTAACTATCATCAGTTTGACAGAAGACATCATCATCCACACTTCTTAGATGGGGAACCTGGGGCTCAGGGAAAGACAGACACCAACCTGAGTCTAGCCGGCTGGAAAGCCCAGAATCCTAGAACCCTAGAGATGGCTCCTGAGACCTTTGTCAGGGATCTCAGGACTCAGGACATCTCCAGAGCCACTAGAGCTGGGTGGAGATGGGAGACAGAACCTGGCTCATGGGCAACCCTTGTGTGTAGTGAGGCTGGGGGAAGTCAGTCCAGTACATTTCAGAATCCAAGAGGGGTAGCCCAAGTGTGGGGTGAGGTTCCTGGAATTTGGGACTTATTATGTACAGTGTTCTATCTGCATGTACCTCTGCTTGCCAGAAGAGGGCATCAGATTTCATTATAGATGGTTGTGAGCCACCATGTGGTTGACAGGAATTGAACTCAAGACCTCTGGAAGAACAGCCAGTGCTCTTAACCTCTGAGCCATCTCTCCAACCCAGAGACATCCTTAACACATGCAGCAGCCTAGCTAAAGCCAAGGGCCCTATTAACCTGGCAGGGACAGAATTAGGAGACCCAGAGAAATGCAGCCCTAGGGACAGCTAGTGGTCAGAGGGACTCAGGCTATAAGCAGGGTCCAATAGCTGGGCTGGGGGTGGGTATCCTAGCACTATGGTTCTTATCTCCAGGCTAGTGTCCTTGATTGAGTTCCACCAATCAGGGCACACCCTGCCTTTCTGAAGAATCGGCTGGGAAGCATGGGTAGGCCTGGACCTCGCATCTTCAGTTAGGACCACCCATCCCATCATCACGTGTGAGGACAGGGAAATGGGATCACAGTCTGTGCCCCAGGGCCTTGTTGATTCAGCTTTCTGAATAGCACCCACTGAGCATCCCAAGTGGTCTGGACTGGTATTAGCAATAATACTAGGCAGTGAGCTGGTTCTCAGCTTCTGCCAGGCTTATGAGGGCAGAGAGAAGTACTTCAGACATCGGGGTTCAACAGAAAGACTAGGTAAAGAAATAACCTCGGGTACCTAGAAGGTGTCTCTGCCCCCTCTGCCTGCTGAAGCCAGAGCTGAGATCCAGGTTTTGATAGGGGCCTCACACACAGTGAACCTGTACCCAAGGTGGCTCACACCTTATTGAATGTGGGGCTGGACTAGGCTGAGTGACCAGCTGTTTTCTAATCTTCTGTCAGCCATGGGTCATGCCATCTCTAACGGCCTTGTGCTCATTGGCACAGGAAGCTCTGTGAAGCTGGACAAGGATCTGGACCGGGCTGTGAAGATGATGGTGGAGATCTCCAAAACCCAGACTCTGACACCTCGGGAGCAGCTGCATGTGTCTGCAGTGCAGACATTTGCCAAGGGGTGAGGGGCCTCCCTGGGCTGGGGGTGTTGGGACTCCAAGCTTGTGCAAGGTGATGCCTCAGAGGTTGAGAGTCTCACCAGCCTGCTCTGCCCCAAATTGAATGCTGAATGAAGAAGTATTTAGTAAGGATTTTCTGTTTAGGGTTAGGAAAAGCTATTGTTCATTCACGTGGTTATTATTATTGTTTTATTTTATTTTATTTTATTTTTTTATTTAATGCCGAATGCTGTTTATTGAAGGAGGGAAGAGGTCTTAAATACAAGCTTACAGCATAATCGGAGAACCCTGGAGGGCAGAAGTTCCCTACCGATGTTTTACAATCTTGCATCTAAGCTGTTAATGCCCAATATGCAGGATACACAGACAAGGAACTTCCCTTAAGCATTCAGGAGGGTAGAACCCAGGAGGGAATTAGGTTATTATTTTAATCACCACATCTAGGATTGAAAAGGAAACAACTGACCCTTTTGCTTCCTGCCCTGAAGGCTGCGTTTGTCAGCTTTCTGTTGTTGTAACAAAATACCCGAGACAATACATTTATCAGGAAGAAAGGTTTATTTTGGCATATGGCCTGGGAGGCTTCAGTCCTTGGGCACTTACCCATTGCTAGTGTTTTGTGGTAGTAGAGGAGTCTACTCATTTCATAGCAGCCAGTGAAGTCAAGAAGAGACTGAGGTCCTGATGTTCCCTCCAAGGGCATGCTTCCAGAGACCTAATTGAATATCAATGGCCTCAAACTCTAGAAGGATGCCCTACTTCCCAACAGCACCACAGGCAGAGACACCCAGCTGTAGCTAGAGTTTTCCTGCCTTGCCCACAGTCAGGGCAAATCTCTGTCACCCACCAGTCCCATAGCGGCTCAGACCCAACCAAGTAAACACAGAGACTTATATTGCTTACAAACTGTATGGCCATGGTAGGCTTCTTGCTAACTGTTCTTACAGCTTAAATTAATCCATTTCCATAAATCTATACCTTGCCACGTGGCTCGTGGCTTACTGGCATCTTCACATGCTGCTTGTCCTGGTGCTGGCTGGCAGTGACTCCTCTGCCTTCCTGTTCTTACTTTTCTCCTCTCTGTTAGTTCCGCCTATACTTCCTACCTAGCCACTGGCCAAATAGTTTTTTATTTATTGACCAATCAGAGCAACATATTTGCCATAAAGAACATCCCACAGCACTTCCCCTTTTCTTTCTTTTCTTTTTTTTTTTTTTCAAAAAGGAAGGTTTTAACCTTAACAAAGTAAAATTACATATTATTTGGCAATTTGGGCGTAGCTTCTCTTACTACTTCCTGCTGGAGGGGGGCGCTGTATCTTATGGGGACACAAAGAAAATTTTAAGATTATGGTATAGTCCATGAGGCTGTATTGTCTGAGCCAGTTGCCTCAAACCATTCTGGATGTTGGATCATCTGGGCCATGGTGTCATCAGAGATCTTTCACGGGGTCTTGGCTGGTCAAACCTGATGTATCTTAATCTGGAACAAATCCATAGCCTCTGGATTTCTGTGGGAACAAAAGCAGAGTCTCCTTTCCAAAGCAACACATCCTTACATCCAAATTTTGAAGTCAAGGTATCTTTAAAATATACATATTGGTTTAACTCAACATCTTTTATGATCAAATGTTTTTCTGCAGTTAAAAATCTCAAAGACAACACAATCCAGATTCTCTTTGTAATATTCATCTTTACATGGCTTATTTTTTATATTAATTTCATTGTCTCTTTAAAGACTTTATTTTTTAAAACTTGCATTTTTTATATAACTGTATATATCACCTTTTTTGGCTCTTTCAAGCCTACATATATTTTACACACATTGTAAACTATTACATCTGAATCTGTCTTATTGAGAATCTATTGCTTTAAACTGCAGCATTTGTAAGACTGAAACTGCGCTATGGCTGCTGACTCTGCCCAACTCAGCTTCCCAACGTGGTGGTGGTACATTTACCACCAGCTCTGGGAGCTATCGTGGCCTATGCTTTTATCCAAGCAGCATGTATCCCAGAAACCTTTTTTTGTTTTGTACTAGCAAAGGCTAAATCCACCATGCAGCTTAATGTGCCACTTGCAGAGGCCTCATTCCCACCATACTGCAGATAGAGCCCACACACTATGAACCCATCAATAGCTCAAACCGGCAGCTGCTGCTCATTTGAGAGAGACAATTAGGAAGTTGTTTTTAGCTCCGTTTTAGAATCTTTTCTCAGGTTTTAGGTGGAAACTCTTGCCAACTCGTTGGGCACGATTTGTAGCTAGAGTTTTCCTGCCTGGCCCACAGTCAGGGCAAATCTCTGACCGACAGCCACTCAGACCCAACCAAGTAAACACAGAGAATTATATTGCTTACAAACTGTATGGCCGTGGCAGGCTTCTTGCTAACTGTTTTTACAGCTTAAATTAATCCATTTCCATAAATCTATACCT